ATCTGCTAAGCTGTAGTTTGATTTTCCGCCTCTCGTTTCCATCTTCTTCTCTCTTTTTTTTTCCTATCCCACTCTCTGACACCAATTTGTTACGTCTCCGTTTGTTAATCAACTTTCCATAACTTCGTTCCGACGAAACTTTAACGACGCAAGTCTTTACTTAATAAAACTGGTTTATTCTTTCCGAATATAACTTTACGATACACTTAATTTCAAAATTCGCGCTAAAACAAACACTATAATGAACGAACGTTAACTTCAACAATACGTCTCTCTCTGACCGCAGTTCAATTACTCATTACCTACACACACATTACATTCTCTTCCCGCGTCACGTTGTCACCCTCTTATATATACCAGCCTACCCTATCTAGTAAATACTAGAGCATTCGCCAAGGTACGGGATAGTTCTAGAAACTAGAGGGCGTGAGAATAGTCACGTGATCTCGATGACGCAACAATACATATTGTTGCGACAGCGGAAGTCACGTGACTCTGGTAACACGTGATGAGTTTCTAGAAGGATCATGAAGGCCCGAGTGCATTCGAGACGCCCTCCTTTTTAATATATATAAGCCTGGCGAGTAAAACCAGCACGAGAGGCAGATAAATCGAAGAGATATAGATAGATTGAAGATAGAGATAATTGAGTCAAGCGAACAGTAGGCACCGTAAGTAAAGTGTGTGAATCACTGTGATTTATAGCGTGTGTTATAAAGGTTGTTAAGTTTGAAGTGACTGTGGAAATTCTGTAGATTACAAAGTTGTATCGAGAAAGAATAAACTAGTTTTAATTATATAAAGGACTTGTATCGCTGAAGGTCCTCGGAAAGATTTATACCGGAAATTAACAAACGACCAGATACGTAACAATATGATTACCCTATATCACTTTTGCTACTCAGAAATCACTTATAATGATATATTTCAAAATATATTTTATATCTACAGTTTACTGAAAATAAAAAGTTGAAGGATGATAAGCAAGCCTTTTTTTTTTTTTGACAGAGCACAGTGTCTTCAAGGTATCAATCAAACTTACATAGTACAAAACTTCCCTCTCCATCATTAAGTATGGTTGACTGGAAACACTTTCTAGTTCAGATGTGAATTCTCTATTGACCACCTTGAATTCTCCATCTACTGTTCTAATATCTGTACGATACACAAAAATATACATTTTCTGCAAATAATATATTCAAATTATAACAGCTTATAAACAATATTTATCTTCAGTTAAAAATTGATTTAATGTCTATCTATTAATTCAATCTTGCATATATGCATTATGATAGAAAAACCTTGATTACCTAATCTAACATTTTTGGGAGAATTTTTTTGAATCAAGTTCCAATCTTACTTTATGTAATGAGATTTTGATACCAAGATATTAATATGCAAGTTTTAAAAATACAATAAATAGTAATGTTGGCCATATAAAAAGCTGTAAAACTATTAACCTTAAAAAAATAATGTTCCAAAAAAAATAAAAAGCTGGCTTTACAAGCTATAAATCAAAATCTGCTCCATAGTTGGATAAGTTTAGGTGCACTTTTATAATGTCATTAGTAAAACATTACTAAACTATGACTTGAAATAAATAAGATTAATCGTAGTATTTTCTGAAACAGTTGAAGTACAGCTAAAATGTCTCAGGTCGTGAAAGAAAATATACCAATGTCTTTACACTTACATCCTTGTCCCAAGAGTTCACAGTTAGGTTTCTTCTGAAGTGATTTGACATGATCTAAAAACATGTTTTTTATTTCATCAAACAATAAAATAACAAAAATGACAGTAAAAAATGATTAAAAATATGTTTTTGAAATATTCATATATAAACTACAATCCAATATTTCAAAATCAATGTTCTCTGTATTATGTAATCAAAAATCAGTATTCAGCGCTCGCGCCGTTAAAAATAAATGTACTGGACTGAATTGTACTTTAATACAAGAAAACATTTTGCACTTTATCGTTTAGGAAAGGTACACTTAGCCCAAAAAGTACAATAATTTGGATACGATG